AGAAGCCAGCTGGAAGATCCATATACACCTCTTGCAAGTCCCCATTGAAAAAAGCATTCTTCACATCAAGTTGGAATAGTGGCCAAGAGTACGTAGCTGCTAATGATAGAAGGATCCGGACTGAGCTCATCTTTGCCACTGGTGCAAAAGTTTCCAAGTAATATATGCCATAAGTCTGAGTGTACCCTTTTGCAACCAGCCCCACCTTGTACCTTTCTATACTCCCATCAACCTTGTACTTCACTGTATAAACTCATCCACATCCAACTGTCTCCTTGCCATCAGGTAAATCCACAATCTCCCATGTCTGATTTTTAATCAATTCTTTCATTTCCTCCTACATAGTTGTCTTCCACTCAAGTTTGGAGAGAGCCTCACTAACACTCCTAGGTATAGACACAGAGTCAAGGGAGGAAACAAAAGCTCAGTAAGAAGGAGATAATCCACTATTTTCGATAGTGTGAGATGCAATGAATAGTGCACTTCCTCTTCCTCTTCCCTTTTCTAAGTGCAAATAGAGAGATCAAGGTCATTTGCAATGGTATTAGGAGCAAGGGTAGTAGGAACTAAATCATCAGAGGAAATAAGAGGCATACTTGAGCCTATATCAGTCAAACCTGGAATCTCTTATGAGCCGATAGAGAGTGACGTGGGTTCCTCTGTTGTGGAATCAACCTCCATATGTTGTCATAGGCATTGTCATGTAAAACATTGAGTGACAGGACGCAAAGGAGGTGATAAGTGGGTGAAATAGGTAGGTCAAACACTGGAGTTGACAAAGGAGCTGGAACAGAAAGTGATATAGATTGCTCACTTCCCCAAAACACTCTCCCTGAGAAAAAGGTGTGGACTCAAAAAAGGTGACATCCATAGTAACATACCGACTCCCGAAGACTGAATGATAACAACAATACCCCTTCTGATTTCCTACATACCCAAGGAAGACACTCTTCTTCGCCTTAGGATCCAAGTTAGAGCGGTGAAGACCAAGAACATGGGTAAAGCATACACATCTAAACACCCTTAGAGGAATATGGAACATCTCCCCCTGAGGAAAAAGAAGGTTGAACGGAGTGCTATATCCAAAAACACAAGAAGTTACCCAATTAATCAAGAAAACTGCTATAAGAACTGCATCACCCCAAAAATGAACTGAAACAGTAGAGCTCAACATCATACTTCTTGTTACTTCCACAATATGTTTGTTCTTCCTTTCTACTATACCATTCTGTTGTGGAGTGTATGTACAACTGCTCTGATGAACTACTCCATGCTCCAATAGGTATGATGCCAAGTTTTTTTCAAAGTATTCCCTGGCACTGTCTAATCTAAACACTTCCACTCATACCCCAAACTACGCCAGCACCATTTGATGGAATTGTTGAACCAAAAATGGTACCTCATCACAGGACCTCATCAAATATATCCAAGAGTATCGAGAATAATCATCCACAAACATAAGAAAATACCAATAGCCACCCATAGAGGAAACATGGTATGGCCCCCACACATCAGTATAAACAATGCTTTCCAATTTGACAATCCTCACACTTCAAGCTAGACAAACTGACAGACTCAAACAATTTTGGAAACAAAAAATGCAAAAAAGCAAAAGACAAGTGCCCTAACCGATTATGCCAAAGCATAACCCAACCTACTGACTCTGACCCAATGCTCCTGCTGACATGATGACTCTGATGACTAGGAAGTGCATCAAGAAAATAGATTCCATTCACCTCACGACCACTCCCAATCGTCCTCTTTGATTCCAGATCCTGCAAAACACAATGACCAAGAGAAAAAATCACTGAATAGTTCAAATTCTTTGTCAAGCTACTAACAGATAAAAGATTAGTGCTCAGTCTAAGAACATGAAGGATAGAATGTAGGGTAATGGTATTGGTTATCATGGTAGACTCTTTCCCAGCAATGGGAACATGTGATCCATCAACTGTAGAAACTCTATCTCTGCCCAAGCAAAGGTGGTATGAAGAGAAAATGGTAGAAATGTTGATCATATGTTCTGAGGCTCCTGAGCCTATAATCCAGGGAGGTCCCCCCTTACCTGTAGTGGATACATAATTTGCAGTGGCATGTGAACTACTTACTTGTATGTGCAAAAGAAGTAGAATGGCTACTTCCTGATCCACAATGCCCTGTTGTCCACCTGATAATGAGTTGGAACTGGTTGTATCCCTCTGATTCAGAAATTGCCCATATATCTCCAATTCAGCCCTTATTGTAATTGTTGCAACAGACTCGAGAGGTTGTAGTAGGTGGTCCTGATATCACTGCCATATTCACATTTCCCTTCTTGTTTCTGAGTCGGCTCGGTACAAGGTGTGGGGTAAAGCTTCCAGTAGGTATCTCTAGTATATTTGGGTTTCTTACAGTAGTCACAGGTCAGATCCTTCTTGTCCTCCTTCCTCAATTCATTTCCACTCTTATCCCCACTTAGCTTAGGCTTCATTGTGCTAACCATAGCTGACTGCTCAAGGCCTGGGTTCTTCATCATCACATTCCTCCTCTCCTCTCCGAACACAAAAGCATATGCCTGAGAAAGAGTTACACTGTCTCGAGAGAATATACTGTCGTGCAATGTCATACTCAAGGTTAAGTCTAGTTAGAAACTCAAAAACCATATTCTTCTCTACCAGCTTCTAATAAGTTGCTACATCTTTGCTACTTTCCCAAACCATAGTCTCCAAATGATCTATCTCCTACCATAAGGTTTTGAGGGTTGAAAAATAAATAGCAACAGAATTATTTCCCTGCCTAGTAGCAATCACCTGGTTTTTCAACTGGGCTCTAGCAACATTCTCATTCTGTGAATAGGTTTCTACTACTCCATCCCAAATCTCCTTAACTGTGTTAGCCCATAAAAAGTTCTTACTTATATGGGGTAACATGGAATTGCGCAACCAAGTCATCACCATGTAGTTCTCCTGTACCCATCGGGAGTGGTTAGTTTCAGATTTCAGGTTTCTACTTGCTCTGATACCAAGTAGAAAAGTTTGGACAACCTATTTTGATATAAAATTTGTAAAAGAAAGAAGAAAAGAAAGAGTAGAAAAGGTTTCTACTTAGAAAGAAAGAGGAGAGATAGAAGAGAATGGGAGAAGCCAAGATTAGGTCTGGCCGCCCCTTTCATTAGATTATATACTCACAAATTAAAGAGAGTACAAAGACAAGTATCCCCTTAGTAAGTCGGCTACTTGTAAGAACTGAATAAGCACTCTTAACTTAAGCATAAACTAATGGGCCTAAGGCCCAATAACTCCTTAATTATACTATGTAAATTAAAACAAGTAATATCAGCCCAAAACTCAACACACCCAAAATGACCCAAATACCCCACAGCTTACAAACATGAAAACCCAACCAAATCCAAGCAAAGTACTCGGAGCAGACCCGAAACAGATCCCCATTGAAATAAGGACCACCAGCCCGTCAGCTGACCCAAATCAAAAACACTTCCTGAATCACCACCCTTCAGTCTTCATCCGTGAGAATATCCTCTTGGACTGAGACATCCTCATCCCATCCCTTGCCTCCTTCCAGATGGACTTTTTTCTTCAATTTCTCTTCCTTTTTTTCTTTTTTTCAAATTCCTCAAAGGCCCTCCTAGCAAACCCCTCACCACCCCAGAAAAACAGACCCGGGCTTTTCCTAATCGTAACCTTTCTATCCACTATTTTCTGGAGAGCTACACTACCTGAATCTCCGTCAATAATATCACTACTCTGTGGCAACCTGTTTGCACCAGAGTCAAGCTCGACACCACTCAGCTTGTTTTCCTGATGTTCCTTAATCAAAAGGGAGATCAATGACTGAACTTGCTTCTTTGCCCCCTTATGATCAGTGCCAGATGTCCCATTGCCTTTCACTCTTTTCCTCATGTACACCCATTTGTATTTTTTTGTAGGTCCAGCCCCTGCCAAGCCGAGTTTAAGCCTTGAAAAATCTTTGTCACATGTACAATGTTATGGTTTCACATGTTCTCCGTGAAGTCTTTTGCTCTTTCCCCGGGGGCCAACTGTACTCTTGATAAAATCCCTGCGTCTAAGATTTGGAACCCCGTTTCCCCTTCTAAAGTTAATGCCTTAGTTTGGGATGCCGCTCTAAATAGATGTCACACTAGGGTGATTCTTGTTAGAAGGGATTTGCAGGTGCCGGACCAGTGCTGTGTGCTCTGTGGGCAGGGGCTGGAAGATTCAGACCATCTCTTCTTGCATTGTCCAGCGACTTCTCAACTATGGTCATGGTGGCACTACCTTTCTGCAGCTGGTGTTTCCTGGGTTTTGCCTAGTTCTCTATTGGATCTTCTGTGGGGCTGGAACTTTCCTGGTCTCTCAAAGTTAGCTCAGTGTCTGGTTGTCCATCCCTGCTGCGGTGATCAGCACTGTTTGGGCTGAAAGGAATAGAAGGGTGTTTCTTGAAGAGTCAAAGAGGGTGGAGGAGTTAGTGGCCATTTCTTTTGGAAAGCTGGTGTCTTGAGCTGCAGCCACTAAAGACTTTCAGTCAAACATTCTGGGGTCCCTGCTGAGAGATAGAAGTTTGTGGGAGTTGTAATCCTGTTATATTTTGTTGTTTTGCATGACAAGGAGCTTGTCTCTTAGGGACTTGAATCTTGTTTAAAGAGATATCAATAAATTACCTTGATTTCTAATTCCTGCTTACAAAATTTAGAACCTGACATGAGGGCTTCTATGGAAAATGAGTTACAATGTTATGTCATGAACTATTTTATACAAATGTGCCAACATTATCACTGACTATAAAGAGTATAAGTGACTCCCTCTCTACATACATGGACTATGTTATGAACTTATGCTTCACCTTTTCTACGCATAATACGGACACTTTCTATTGCTCAGTATCAGGTTTTAAAACAATCAATAAAAAGTACACTGAATTAAGACAACGGGAACAATTAAGCACGACTCGAATCGGAACACAGCATGCCAGCACGTTCCTTTCCGTTAGAAACAAAGGCATACCTTCGAAGTGGCATGTAACGGATCTAGAGTTTCTCCAAAGATGGCTTTAATTTCACCATCATCCTGAAAGAGGAGATCCTCCAACCAGTTTGAACTCTCCTCCGCTTTCAACATCGGATGAATACCATAGGAAAAGAAAACCCTAATTCCCCCAATTTCAAAACCCCAAGCTGCACAGTTCCAGAACTGAATTCTGCACCTCTCTGAATTAAGATCCTGCAACTTCGAAAACACGCATCACGATTTCAAAGAAATATAACAAGGAAACGGTTAACAAATCAGGAAACATAGACTTCTAGAGAAGAGGGTTTTCTTTTCCGTCTGATTCTTTCGTCGTCGTCGTCGTCGTCGTCTTCTCTCAGAGCTCCAATTCCGGGAAAGTTCGGCGCAGTTTCGCTGATACGATTTATTTCCTTTATTTTAGAGGTGAGACAGAGAGCACTCAGAGCGGGTGACATCAGAATAAACATGTTTCAATGAGAACGGGCGTTGGGGCGTGTCTCGTGGTTAGTTAGACTTTAGAGTCTTTTCTTCATTTATTAATTTATAAAATAAAAAAGAAAGAAAGAGATATAATCAAATTGAATTTTTTTTATTCGTGTGTATCGGAGAAAACCGAAAAGGAAAAAAGAGGTCTTCACTCCTTCACTCTCAGATTTTGGTTATTGATGGTCCAAAGAGACGGTGTTGTCATTTTCAGTGAGGAATAAAGGGAGGGAGTAAAAGTTAATGCATTGTTATTCATTGTTCCATGATTCTTTGTAGTAAGTTTCCGACTCACGATAGGCTTCAGAAAAAAAAAGGTTTCCGACTCACGAATCACGATTACCAATGCCAACAAAAAATCCAAATGGATGGCTGGCTCCCTACACTACAGGCGGCTATATGCCAGGAAACTCATATCACGTCTCGGATTGGGGCGGAGCTCTTCTCATGAAACTTTTGTTACCAACCCCATCTCAAAATATCAAATCGTGCATTTAAACAATGTTTTAAAAATGGACTGGAGGCCGAGCCGTTTTGTTTCAAGGTCGCATGTCACCGCTTCAATCGGCTGAGTCAAATGGTTGAGATTGTACCACATCAGAACATATCTATACTACCTATAAAGAGCGAATTTCCTTTTTTTTCTGAAATTTTTATTAGACATTTTCTACCCTTCTTGTCTAAGCACAAAGCAGGCATAAAGAGGGCATATATGTCATTTATTCTCAATTTTAGAAACTGCCAACTTATAACTGTTCAAAACTATCCACTTAAAAATTATAACCATTTAAAAACTGCCCATAATTATAAATAGTTGTCTTAGAGATACTGTCATGTGCAAATCCGCGTACACATTTACTAGTATATATTAAGTGTGTATATATATTACACACACACATATATATATATTAGCAATAAATAATGTATGAATATATTTTAGATATGTTATGTGTATTATTTTAAATTTAATTTATATTTTTTAACTCAATTTTGAATTTTTTATTTATAAAAAATATTAAAAATTGCAATTTGATGTAAAAAAAGGGTATTTTCACGAAAAGAGTGGTGCAAGGCACCTATGGCCCCTTGGGACACATAGATCTCGAAAAGTTACCCAAAGTAATGAAAAAACAATCACCCCAATCGAACATCTGAGTGTAAAGTTATGGCCTTCAAAAGTTTTGCATGCATTGAGTGTGCAACCTACGACCCGGTCATCGGGTTGAACCAACCAGGTCAAATGGTTTTTGACTATTTGATGAGTCTTGACTAAACGGACCCAAAATCCTGGTTGGGTGACGGTTCAAATGGTTCGATAGGTTGGATCAACGGCATGTTGAAAACATTGCATTTAAAAGAGAAGGATTTTTTAGTAGGTCATGGTTGACATGTCTAGGTAGTGGTGCAAGTCAGCCCAGATTAGGTTGACTAAAATTAGGGGTGCAACCCAAGAGGGTTGGGTCGGGTTGAAGGTCAACCTAGATCCAACCCTAAATATGCAAATCTCAAACTTGAACATGGCCCAATCCAAGGTGAAGCCTATACTTATCAACCAAGGCCCAATCTTAGCTTCACCCATTACGATCAAAGTCTCCCAATACTAGGACAAGAGCTTGGTGTGAAAGGGGGTGATAAGTTAGAGAGTCTAGGCTGATATGTTGAGCTTAAGACTCTGATGTTCGAGTTAAGAAAAGGTTGAGCTATCCAAAGTGAAATAAAGATTAGTAAATGTCGCATATCTACTATGGAGTTTTAGAATTTACCTTTATATAGGTTAGGGACACTCATGCCGACTAACACGTGGTGGTAATGGATGAGACACCTAGTGGATTCATGTAACACATTCTGGTGACTTGCGTGCCATGTCCAAGTGTGCGAGGAAGCTTGGGGCTCACCAACTACTCTATACATATCAATTTTACACAATTTATTAACCTGAAGCAAACGTTAAAAATGTGCTAAACTGGTTTCACTTCTCGAGGGGCCAAACCATTGCAAATCTTCACCATTGATTGTGAATTGATCCTGGTCGTCAAAGCAATATATACATATATAAGGGTTCATTCTTCACTTAGTCACTCCTGTTTGGGTTCCGCTTTTAGGTTGGAGAGCTCAACTTTTAGAAGCTTCTTCATGTCGTCAGGTCAGTCTTCTTGTCTTCCTTTCGGATAGGGGTGAGCACTATTCATTAAAACCGAAAAAAAAAATTGAACTGAAAATTTCAATTTTTGTTTTTTTTTGTTTGGTTTTTATATTTTTAGTTAAATTGATTTGGTTAATTCGGTCTTCAATTTCAATTTTTAGAATTAGAAATTCAATTAACCAAATTAACCGAACTTTCTATTATTATATATAATATATAATATGTAAGGTATAATATGTAATATATAATACATATAATATATTGTATATTTATATATTTATATATTTATATATATAATAAAGTGAAATTCAATTTCATAATATATATTTTATAGTATATAATATATATCATATGTTATAATACATAATAGAGTATATATTATTAAAATTCGGTTTTAACTGAAATAACCAAAAACCGAACAAAAAATTATGGTTTCAGTTATTTTGGTTTTTCTATAATTCGGTTTAGTTTGGATTTTATTTTTTTAGTTAAATTTTAAAAATTTTAGTTTTAAACCATAACCGAATGTTCACTCCTACTTTCGGGTGAGTCATCCCATCCTGAGCCTTTTCATTTTTAGTTTCCTTTAATTATGTCAAGTTCAAGAGAGGGAAAGAGTGTTGAGCATGGAAGAGGAAGAGCCACCAGACTCAACCTCCTCCTAGTGTAGGGAGTTAAGTCACCAAACCTTGATTTTTGAGGAGACTTTTACCCCCACCCGATTAACTATAGCCGACGTACAACACATCTAGGCTAATCATAATGTCCCGGAGTCATTTAGGTTTAGACTTCTACTATCCATGAGGCTCCTTGGGACCACAGTGAGAATGAGGTATGCATTTATGAGCTGGTCAGGTTGAGGTTCCCCCTTCTAACCCTTATTACTGACATTCAGAACCACTAGCTGATAACTTTAGGGCAACTCTCCCCTAATGCCTTTAGGATAGCTATAGGGGCGACCTTCACTAGCGGTCAACACAACCTTCCAATTAACATCAGGGTATTTGGGTCCTTGTGTTTCATTAAACACCATCTTGGTCGAACCAAACACTACTACTTCTCTTTTCAACCTCTTTTGAAAATTCCTTGGTAGTCTTTCATCCAATGTCCTATAGTGGAAGTTAAAGTATCTCTTTGTAGTACAAGAGAGGTCTTAGACTTTTATAAATAGCTAGGGTACTACTGCTGGAGACCTAGACGGTGACGCGCTAGCCAAAGAAGAAGTGTGGTAGGTTAGAGAGTTAATTAAGTTAAATCTGAAGGCCCCGAACTACCTAGCCGAGGATGCACTGGTGAGAGTAGGCTTCCTTTCCTTCCTTTTTATTAAGTTTTCTTACTTGGTTCCATGTCATACTCTACTATATATCGAGTGGCATGGCTAGAGACAGTATTGTCGGGGTCTTTGTTGTGACAAAGTTAAAGAAGCAAAAGCTAACCAAGGATGGATCCTCTCGAGCTACCAAGAAACAAGCTCCCCCATCCACAACTCTGGTGTAGATGTCAATGAATTGATGGCCCTGGAATCCGAGAAAGTGCCAAGGATCAAAGTCACCCTAGGGATCGATTAGGTAGCTCCTTTTGCGGCTCGAGGTGTTCGGGCTTAGTCATCCACCACTCCTTCAAATGAAGTTGGGCCTTTTGCAACTTGGGTGAGGATATAGTATATGTGCCCACCGAGAAGACACCTATCTAGAATTTCAAGTGAAAAATTCAGAGTGGAGATGAGGGGCCTTCCCCTGAAGGTCTTTGGTATGTGCCTTTTCAATCACATATTGAAGGTAACTTGCTTAATTAATTTCCTCTGGTTTACTTTCTCTATTTAGTCATGTTTCTTTAAATGGTTTGTACTTCCCTATAGGCCAATGCTACTACTCATGGGATATTGCAGAGGGCTGCAGGATAGCTTGCCCTACTAAGTTTTGGAATTTACCTTTATATAGGTTGGGGACACTCGTGCCAACTAACACGTGGTGGTAATGGATGAGACACTTGGTAGATTCGTAGAACACGTTTTGGTGACTTGTGTGCCACATCCAGGTGTGCATTGAAGAAGCCCAAGGCTCACCAACTAACAAAGCGGGTAAATGGGATGATTACACTGCCACGTGGTTGTCTTCTTGCACATGTGGTCCAGCTCGGGTGTGTTTCTTTCGATTTAGCTCGGCTTGACAGGATATGCTTCTTTGCTTACTCACCTAAACTTGTGTGCCATGTTGACCTTTTTCAATCTTCGTCATCATAGCACCTCAAACTGAGCAATTATTGGGAATGTCCAAGGTGTTTACTGATCCACTAAGATTGCCACATATTATGATCTTATTAGAGGTCAATTATACCTTCATTAGGTTGGGCCCGAGCTTTGATTGGGTAAAGTCAAGTTTGGGACACTTTGCCGGGTTTTAAATAAGTTATGTATATATTTTTATATGGTCATCTTTTATTAGGCTTTATGGCCCAATTGAATAGACAAATTGATTGAAAAATACGTACAAGTTTTATTACCAAATGCACAAATCCCTACATGTATATAATTAGAAACAAGATATTTTTATATAAATATCACATATGTATATATTTGTTCGAGCAGGCTTAGATTGTG